GGATGGGGCCTGACCACCGCATATTACGGTGAAAAAGTTAATAGAAATGATGATATTGATAGATTGTACCCCAAGCTACAAAATAGAACAATGAAATAAAATACAAACTCATATAGTAATCCGGCAAAAGGCAAGCAGTTCAGTCTTGACCGAAAGACGCGCTCTTCCACTCAACCTGGAAACTAATAATTTTTCAAAAGTTTTACCAGACCATACAGGGAAACTCAAAATTTTATGCAAGATACAGAACAAAAAATTATTTGGTAATTATTCACCGGTGAGTCATCAAGATGAGTAAACCTCTGAAGAAGCCAGCTGGCCTGCTGGCGAAACGTTAGGATGCCGTTCCAAACTACGATGGCCTTCAAACCCGAATGAAACACTGAAAATCTCGGCCGCGAATGCCTTAGCTAATCCATCTATAATTAATTTATTTGCAATAATAATTGCAATAAGAGCGGTGACTGATTTGTAAATGTAGAAAGATTTCTCATTTTCATAGGTATTATAAACCTTGGCTATATTGTAGGAAAAAGATGATTTGATAGGTTAGGTTAGGTCCAAAGTGGGTGGGTCTATTCGACCCACCAATGCAACCCGCAAGGATTTATTGTGGCTCACACCTATTCACACTCGACCGGATAAACGTAGCTTCTTAAAGAAGCCGATTAGTTTGAATGGTGAGTGGTCTTTCAGGTCAGATGGTAAGAGTACGACTCTACTGAACTCTAAAAACCTGATTCGGTCCCCAGCGGGACAGGTACAGAGTATATGTTCTGCTGTTTCACCATTTTTCAAACAGAGGCGACACACACTGTCTTCCGACAGTCCGAATCTCTGCATATGATGATTCAAATGACAGTGACCTGTAAGAAGGCTTGTTACACATTGTAGTTCATCCCTACTGTAGTCCAACAATTGCTTGGTATGAAGCTTCGAAGAGTGAATAATCGCCTTGGAGTAAGCCAATCCTGAAAGATTCTGCGAGAAGTCCATAAATCTTTTTGACATCCAGGTATTCAATTTTTGTTTGGCAAAGCCTGTAGCGATGCTAATGACAGGTTCTGGTCCGATAAAGCTGCTTGCACCATCCTCATTAGCAAGGGAGTCAGCGGCCTCATTGCCTTACAGGCCAGTATGGCCAGGAATCCAGACCAAAATCCAGACCAGAGACAATCTGTTAAGTCTTCATATCGAGGAGAGTCGTTTTTGTCAATTTGCTACCAATTTAGACGTTGCTCAGTAGGAGCCAAGTGCTTTCAACGCCGCTTGACTGTCCAAGAATATTTTTATTGACTTGTGTATGAGGTTGGATTCTTCCAATCTCTCAGCCGCATAATTTCCTAGGCAGGTTGATATCTCTGTTCTGGGTCTGCGACTGAAAACATCTGCACCAGAACCAGAAGGTTTTTTTGATCCATCTGTGAACCAACAACTATCTGCTCTTAATATTTTCTTCTCTCGATGACTTGATGAAAGAAGTTTTGAACCGAGGAAACGTAAGCTGATTTTTAGGACGGATATTCACATCGTGGATTTGTGAGAGAAATTCCACTTTACTGTGAAGACATCGCGGTTTTTTAAACAACATAATTTTGTGTAGAGAACAAAAATAAAGTAAACACCTTTTCCTCATATCTATCCAACCTAGTTCAGAAAGACGAAGACCATATATAAGCCTGACACATGAATTTTGTATCGTCTGAAGTCGGCAATTGTCAGTTTGAAATAAAGCAGGCCCATATATGCAGTCAGCATAGTTAAGATGTGACAGAACAATATATGTCTATTACAGTAAATGAGTTTCAAATCAATAAATGCTTTTTTATGAAAAAGGAAATATGATAACTGAATTTCAGTTCGTTATCTAGTATGAGCCCAAGATTCCTGTCACAACTGGGAAAATATATACGGCGAATTGTCAAGAAATAGCTTTGAGTTGTATTTGTTTCTTACTAGTGCTCCTTGTTGTCCAAAAAGCAATGCTTGTGATTCAGGTGGATTTATCGTCAAACAGAACTTCTTCGATAAGGAAGCCGAAGTTTGTAGATCGGAATTCATATGGCCACAGGCAAGACGAATATCACTTTCTTTAAAGGTCATGTGAAGTTGTGTTTCGTCCGCATAATAGTGAACTGAGAAGTGACGTATATGTTTATGAATTTGCGTAGTATAAATAGCATACAGAAGGGGTCCAAGGATTGATCCATGGGGCACTCATCTTTTTATAGTTGCAGGATGACACAGGATTCTATTGAACAGCACAGACTAAACTCTTTCAGATAGATATTACTACACTTGACCAATTTGCTCTCAAACAATTTTCAATTGTTTGAGAACTTTCTATATCAATTGAATTTGTTTAGATAATAGACTAGATGGTAATGTTGATATATTCCTATGAAATATTTAATCTATGATAGAATTGAACGTTACAAGGTAAGACCTCGTTAATCCTTAGTCAGCACATGTTTCGACTTCTGAGAGTTGTTATTTGTAAGGGTACGACAACTAGTTTATGGAAAAACAGATTTTAAAGAGATATTCAATATAAAAATGTAACTTAGTTGGTAGGAATTACTTTCAGTCATTTTCTGATGATCCTAACTTGCTTAACGAAACGTGTATCAAGAGAAAGTGCTCCAATACTTGTATGTGGGAGAACCACCATTTTTATGGAATTTTGAGTTATGTAATATTATATGAGAATGATTTCAATATTCTCTAATTTGATAAAAAACATTGAAAATTTGATTCTTGTAACAACATTTTTAGCAACGATTTGGTCATACTGTCTATATATTATACTAGGAAAATTTCAAAATATTAATTAAAAATTTGCACTTTTTTTTCATTCTTTTTCAGATACAAAGATATGAAGGCGTAGGTAGAAAGGCTACAAACGAATGGGGAAAAAATACATAATTCCTAGATAAAAGTTGTAATCCAATAATATACAGGGTGTTTCCCAACTACGGTCCGGAATTGCTTCGTTTCAGGGATACAGTGCGTTGAAGTTTAAAAAAATCGGTAATAATAAAATATCATAAATATCCTTACACCGATTTGTTTGAAATTTTCTACAGTTATTTGAAGTAATGAGATGCTTATTTAGCCCGAGTTAGATTCAAATTATTAGGTCCAGTGGCGTCTCAGTGGGCACCATAATCAACAATATTGAGAAAAAGAAGAACGCCACTGACGTTTTTGTTATTTTTAATTTTTTTAGATCAAGCAACTGAAAATACTTTTTTTTCCGCATGTGTTTTCTTTATATCATGCTTCGTTATCGAGAAAAACAATTCTAAAAAACTATCCATGTATAACATAAAATAAAAACCAAAAGTAAATAATAAACAATTCTGACCTTAAAGTGCACCTTCTGATAAAATATACGACTGCAATCGATTTATCATCGATTGTCTGACACGTTCAAAAATACCTTATGACATAGCAATTGTCATTTATTCGATTCCTCAAGTCATTCACATCTAGTACAGGAGTTTTACAAACAAGAGCCTTCATATAAATCTAGACCTTAAAGTCCACCTTCTGATAAACTATACAACTGCAATCGATTTGTCATTGATTGTCTAACACGTTCAAAAATACCTCATGACATAGCAATTGTCATTTATTCGATTCCTCAAATCATTCACATTCACACTACAGGAGTTTTACAAACAAGAGCCTTCATATAAATCTAGAGGATTCATATCAGAACTGCGAGCTGGCCAATTTTGAGGTCCTGCACGACCAATCCAGCGATTAGGGTAGGTGATGCGTCTTACCGGCACTTCTAACAAAATAGGTGGATGATCTCGCAAAAAGTTCATGTAGAATTCACCTGCAAAAATTGGCTAGTTAGGTAGTCACCAAGCATTCACACCCAAACGTTCAACAAAAATTGTTGATGGAAATGACTTTCTCTTATAACGTGGGGATTCTCGTCGGACCAATAATGGTCATTGTAAAAGTTCTAGCATCTCATGAAAAATTTGCTTTGTCCGTAAATGAAATATTTGGTAAAAAATTATTGTTGTGTGCCATCGTATGAATCAACCACCTACAAAACATCAATCTTGGGTGAAAATCCCAAGACAACAGACATTAGACTCGCTGAAGGTGATATGGGTATAAGAGGTTTCTTCTTAGAACTGTCCATACGGTTTTTGGGCTGACTTCCAGCTGCAGTACAATCTTCCCTATTTGAAGGATCTTCTTCCATTGCATCAAGTATATCTTCTGCTAGTGCAGGCGTTATAACAGTTTCTGGTCTTCTACTCCCAGTTTCACATAATCTTTTTTAGCACATAGAATTATTCTGATAAGATATATGTCCTGGTAAATTATCCGTGCTTCTTCCACATTCCTATTTGCTGATCCATAAATAAAGTGTCAGCCATTTTAGCGTTAGTAAAATGACTCTTGATGGAGTCGCTGCTAACTGACAACTCTGACAAAGTGGCTTTAATTTTTCTATCGAAAACGAAGCTAGGAAAAAAAATACAAGGGACTAAAAGTTGTTTTTTCAGTCAACCAATTAGAAAAAATGAAAAATTACAAAAAAGTCAGTGGCATTCTTTTATTACTCAATATTGTTGGTTGTGGTGCCCACTGGTATGCCACTGGTCCTAATAATTTATATCTAGTTCGGGCTGAATAACCGCCTTATTACTTCAAATAATTGTAGCAATTTTCAACCAAGTCACTGTACCTAACGATATTTATGATATTTTATAAATACCGTTTTTTCAACTTCAATGCCCTGTATCTTAAAAATAAAGAAACTTAGGACATATGTCCATAGGAACTTTTTTGAAACGAACTAACGAATCACTCTCTAAAGTTTCGTACCGCAGTTAGGAAACATCCTGTATAAAACATATCTCGTGTTAGACATGTGTATTGAGCACACTTAGAGCGGCAAAAAATAAAATACGTTCATGGAACGAAAACAAACACAATAGTAACAAAAACGCTAAACTTTGAACACACTCGTCAATACATGACCTCATATTTAAATTTAATACTCATTCAGTTCATTACGAATTCACCGAAACAAAACAAAACAAATAGAACGACCTTGTGACCTTATCGAAGGATTATTCATTATCAGACACTTCGACAAGAAGACCCACTCGGTTATTTATCACAAACAGTGCATAAAAATGAACAAATCGTCTAGTTCTACCAATTCCTGCACGGATGCCAACAACCGAAGGACTATCGATCCCTTCCAAAGAGATGCGCAACCGCTCTGTAGTTTCACACGGGTTTCAATCTATTTACATCGAAAATGTGAGTAAATAATCATTCCAAAAACTAGCAACCGCGTCGAAATTTAAAAAAATGTGTCCAGGTGTAGACTTCCTTTTAGTTGTGATGTGTACTAGGTCGTGACAAAACAAACCAGTTGTTGAGTAATAATTATTAATGGTTCACCATTGTTCAGCTTGAATTTCTTGATAATCGAAATGGGAACCAGTGAATCAAAACAGACCAAAACAAAAGCCAAGTTGAAAGTGAAGCTAGGAGGCAAAAGAAAAGGAAAATTCGAAGATAATTTTACGGGCGTAGTTCCAGATGAAGACGAGGGTAAGACCCCTGAAACAGATCCTCCTGAAAAAGAAAACAACTCAAATAAACTTCCAATCAGTGTTTCGAATGAAGATACAGCTTTAATAACAGACTCCTGGTGCGACGTGAACCATCCCAGTCAAAAAAGTGATGACAATGACAGAAAAATATTTGCTACGACTCCATCAAGTTCCGAATCCCATTTCACGGATGCTCAAACTCCTGTTGGATTCCATAATCAAAGTGAAGAAAGCATAGATTTGGATATAGAGGTCCCTAACTTTACTCAAGGAACATTTTTGCACGATTTAACATTGAACAGCTTCAAACTCAATGAATATAGCGTAAGGCATAAGAAGCTGAGTAAACTAGGTGTATCGAAAACCAGCCAGATTAGTTTGGATAGCAATCCTGACGGATGTTTCGCATCTGACAATGTCGAAATTGTAAGTCAAATTCAAGATGACAGTGGTTTTGGTGATTCTTCCTTGGAAAGGGATGATACTCTGAAGAGGAGGTCCAAGGAGTTAGCCGATGAGGAAACAAATGTTTTGCAGATGGTTAAGAGAATGTCAGATGTCAACTTGAATAATGGTAAATATTGCATTCGAATATGATATTATGAGGTTAGGATTTGAGGTATTGAATTCAGTTGATTTGGTTTAATATAATCACTCATGAAATGTACTTATTAAATAGTAATACTCGAACACTCGAGGTTCTAGTGACAAAAATGATTTGGTGTAGCCTGAAATTCATCTATATTCCAACTTAAAAGTTTGCTTATAATTTTCATTTCTGTTTTATTAGTTACGATGAAACTGCTCACAACTATTTCTTCACATAAAATAACTGCAAGCACTTTCTGAAATAAAAATTATGAAAGATACTACACATCATATGAGAATTATAGATATTATAACTTTAGTGGTGTCTAGTAATAATACTTTTTGAACAATTTCTAAATATTTTTCAAGATATTGAAATGTTTTACAAAAAACTTTGAATGAAATTATCATACAGTGTGTTTTCAGTAAATTGAAACAATGTGGATAACTTTTTTATTGATAATTTTGGTAAATTTAAGGAAATTTCATGAAGACTCAAACCTATAATGTCGTATACGAGGTATGTCAAAAAACATAAATGGTGCTCACGGGTAAAGTATCAAGAGAATTTCATAGTGATAAACTAATTAGAAATATAAAAAATGAAAACAAAAATGAGCAATTTCCATAAACCACCGAAATATTCTAGTTTCTAATACAGATAAACAGTCATATATCCCATCTTTATGGTTCTCCAAGAATATTCTGAACACAAAAGAATAACAGGATACTGAATTTACCAAAAAATAATGAACACTACAGTATCGTTTCATTGTCTTCAAATATATTAATTGAGAAGCCAGAAATCCAATTTTTTCACTGAATATCGGGTAAAAAACTCAATTTTACTGCAATTCTTTCATTCCTCAATAAATAAAAAATAATTGTAGATTGAAGAAAAAAACTTGATATGTTCAAAGCAGGTAGTAGTTGAAATATAGGGTTTTTGAATACCTTCTGAACTATTGAAATTCTGTCTGTTTGATATTATTGATTGTCGGTAATAAAGTATGGTATTGAGATACTTGGATTTGAGTTCTGTTTAAGATATTGTCTAGTATACATTTGGTCATAACATTCATATAAATGTTAAATGAAAAAAACAACCAAATGCTCTATTTGTCCTCATACCGCATACTACCTGGACAATTCGAGTACTGTGGAGGTTGTCTTATCGTCTTTGATAATGTCTACCACAGTAGTGAACGAAACGGCAGGCCACGGTCAATAAATCCGTAAAATAGTTTATCTCTAGGCAGAAAAGTTCAGATTATGTGATCAATTTCTAATGTCCCTATGACTCCCTTATTATATGCACCTCAACTCTACTTTTTTCTCAATATTCAGCTCAATATCAATTATCAAACAGAATTCACGTTAAAACTCATTAGTACAGTTTATTGTATGATTTTCACTATAAAGGATTTTACAAAACCCGGTATTTACATCCCCGAGATTACTCTTTAGACTTTGTAGATATGATTAAAAAATACTTGAAATGTTCACATTTATCGTTTTTTTCGTGAATTTTTTAATATGCCCCAAAGCTAAGCTCTCAACTACAATCGTTTATTGCAATTATCTTGGTTTCTATTGCAAATACTTCAAAAGTGATTCTTAACGATTTTATAGAAAATTTCAATTCCTACATTTTTGTTTCGACAATTCTTCCTTTTTTTTCATGTTTTAGTCATATTTTCAAAAATGAATTTCAACATTTTTTCACTATAAATCCTTTGAACGTATGCTGAAATCAACTAATATTGAAAACTGCAGGCTTGCCTTTAAGATTGTAATTTGAATCCTTATTTAATTAGACTATTTAGAGTTTTACTCTTCGCGTCCATTCATATACCTGTGTAATGTCGGTAGCCGGTCGGTTCGACGTGGGTGCTTTATTCACTCATTCAAATCGACCGCCGTGTTAGTCGGTGGTTCAAGCCGCAGTTTGAACGGTCGATTTTTACTTGCTATCGTCCAACCCGTGTTAGTAATCACACGTTAAAAGGTAAGACCTCGTTAGTCCTTAGCTCGCACAAAATTCGACTTCTGAGGGTTGTCGTTCGTAGGGTAGCGATAGCTGGTTATCGAAAAAACATATTTTTTAATGGAAATTATCTGGTTTGATTGAACAAAGAATATGACAAATTTTTTATGAAGTTCTGGCCCGTCCATATCCAATGTCTTTTATTTACTGAAATTGTTATTGCCGTATTTTTATTCAACTACAGTAATAAATACTTAGTGTATTTTATTGTACATTCATGAATATATTTTTGACAGTCCTCTTACGAAGATAGTCTCATTTCCATTGTACAAGGTCGAATAAAAACATTTCCTTCACTTTCGTTGGCAGAGAAATACATATAATTAACATTACATTGCAGTTATAAATATAAATTGCCTAAGTAGAGGTAACGATGAAAATATTGAATTCAAAGGGAATTAACTGAAAATCACGAATTTGATTCGGGCAGGTAAAAATAAAAATTGTTTGAAGGTGGTTGACAATGTTTCGTGGTGTATTTCATCAGTTCGGACTTCCATTTTCTGATATAATAAATAGATGCCGTGACGGACCGGGACTGAAAAATATTTCGATAAATCGTTTTAGTGTTTCTTGATAATATTTGTGCATAAAACAGGCAGTATTATATTATAGCAGTGCTTTTTGATAATATTTTTAATATGTTTTTAAAGTGTTTTCTTTCAATTTCAAGGTGTTTTCAGGTTTTCATAAGTCTTTATCTTATGATAATAAATTTGACATTATTAAAACTCTGGGAAGGCCTCAACCAAATGTGATTTCAATTAAATCATCAGATATTCGACAAAATCGAGGATTTAATATTAGTTGGTACGATAAATGCGATAGGTTGACGGCATGTGAACACTAAAAATGAAACACATAAAAAAATTAAATGAAATAAAGGAAGTAAATAACGGAAGTAGGAAATGCAGAAAATTAATAAAATTTCAGTCCCAGCTGCTTGAAGACATTTTGATTGTTAGTATCGACAATCATCAAATCCATTTTCATATGTTTTGTTAATTTCAAAATTTTGTATTCTTTCATATTTTTTTTTAAATTCATTTCAATTTTTTTCTCATTCTTATTGTCCGCTCATAATTGGCATTTATTGTTATTCAATAATTAATTTTCAATTCGAAACACACTGTTATGTTTTTCACAAATAAGCTTTCTAACATTTTCTATTTAGTTTTCCGTTTTTTAATTTTTCAATACTACTTTTTATAAATCGATGTAGTACTTATAGTGACAGATCAAATGTTGTGAGTTGATGATAAAAATTCAACCTGAAGAAATATTCAGTATTATGGTTTTAACCGTATAAAAGATGGAAAAAAACGAAAACTTACTCATTATCGTTGACTGACTGACATTAGTGACAGTGGCTCATTATTACTTTCTATTATTGATTGAAATTGCTAATTTTAAATAAATTCCATTCATAAAATCTAGTCGAGGTCAAAGCACAAGATAAGATGGGTTTATCGAAAATGTTTCGTTGGAGAACAGCAACATTACGAAAAATATTCATTAGTCAAGGGTTTCAAAGAGCTATTCATAGTCAATTACTTGAAATCCTTGGCTATAGTACAGAAAAATCTTTCTAATTTGTATTTTTCTCCCTTATTGAATACGGTTAACATGATTACTCCAAATTGAATTTTGAATGAAGTGATTTATGAAACCTTGTTTGGAATGAAAACTTTATTGACCATGATGTTTATGAGCCGTAGTCTGCAGGATTTTTATATCTGACGTTTCGTCTGCTTTTGCGGCAGATATATTCAAAAGCGATGCGGCAACGGTCGAAGGTATCTACCTTAGCGTTAGCGTTTTTTCCACTCCTCGAAGCACACTGATATTACCTTGAGCTCTTTCAGCGATTACACAACACAATAAAGTTTTTGTTTCGGGGTTGAAATTAGATGATTTTAATGTATTTCCACGTGTTAAAATCGAAAGTGACCATAAAAATTATATATTAGCTCTTGTAATTAGTGACAGTGGCTCATTATTACTTTCTATTATTGATTGAAATTGCTAATTTTAAATAAATTCCATTCATAAAATCTAGTCGAGGTCAAAGCAAAGATAAGATGGGTTTATCGAATATGTTTCGTTGGAGAACAGCAACATTACGAAAAATATTCATTAGTCAAGGGTTTCAAAGAGCTATTCATAGTCATAGTATTTTTCTCCCTTATTGAATACGGTTAACATGATTACTCCAAATTGAATTTTGATTGAAGTAATTTATGAAACCTTGTTTGGAATGAGAACTATATTGATCATGATGTTTATGAGCCGTGGTCTGTAGGATTTTTATATCTGACGTTTCGTCTGCTACTGCGGCAGATATTATCAAAGGTCGAAGTGATCTACCTTAGCGTTAGCGTTTTTTCCACTCCTCGAAACACAATGATATTACCTTGAGCTCTTTCAGCGATTATTTTTTCAATTTCTCAATCGTCGCAAAACGCCGTCTTTTCATGAGTATATTCAATCTTGGGAACCGGAAAACTGAGTAACTGAGGCATGGTTACGGAAAATTACGAACAATCAATGACGAGTGAGCAGGTGCATTATCGTGATGCAAAAGCCCAGAATTGTTTTTCCACAATACTGGACGATTGGACTTTGATTTCGATGTCATAGTTATATACCTATGATTCGTCACCAGTTATAACCCTTTGAAACAAATCTGGATCGCCGTTGACGTCATTCAATAATTTCTAAGCGATGGTTTTTTTTGATCAAAATTCGGCCACATGCCTCATGTCCAAAATTTACGAAAAAATCGCATGGCATGGGCCAACCGATATGCCGACATCCTCAGCAACTTCTTCAAGGTGTCGTTTCCACTGGAGCGATACGATACGAGTAAGCGATGCAACATGAGCAATCTTTTATTGCCCGATGCAACTTTTATCCTCGCAACACTCCACTGCACACTG